GGTCGCTGGCAGGGCCAGGCCGCCAGGGCCAGGCGGGACTCAGGGCAGGAGGACCTCATGGCAGTGTCCAGGGGTGTGCAAGGCGAGAACCCAGCCAGGTCTGGGATGGGGGAGCTGGCCGGCGGGTGGACCTCTTGGCCCTGAGCGCCCTGGGCCCTTCCCGTGAAGGAGAGGGTCACGCGGGACCCAGGTACCCAGAATCCTTCTCACTGTCCCGCCTGCCTGTGGGGGTCCTGGGGTCACAGAGAACCACGGGGAACAGCAGGTTCACGGAAGCCCAGGTCCAGGCTGCAGCCGCCTGCCTCGCCCGGGGCCTCCTGAGCAAGAGAAGGGACGGGAGAGGCCTCCAGGCACCGTGCCTCGTGCAGGGAGTCAGACCGGGGGCTCCGCTCGCTGCCTCCTGCTTCTGAGAGAACCACTCACTTGGCACCGTCCTGCCTCCTCCAGCGACCTCACGCCCGTCCCGCCTCCGGGCCCTTCTTCCCCTGCAGCTCCCACCTCTGGCCCGAGGCTGGTCCAGCCCTGGCTCCTGCTCTCACCAGCCTGACTTCCCAGCTCTGACCCGCGATGTCCATCGGGACATGGGCGGGGCTGCTTGGGGATGGGATCCTGAGATGACATGGCAAAGGCTGCCACCGTGACAGACGGGCAGAGCTGGGGTGATGGGCCCGGCAGCCCCGGGGCCGGGAGGGGGGGAGGCCAGCGTGGTAAGTGCGGCTGTGGGCAGGCAGCGAGGACCCAGGCGGTCAGCGGCCCTGTCTTCTCCCGCTGCCCTGGCCTCACCTGGTGGGACCAGCACGTTGGCCAGGATGGAGAGGCCTCCCAGGGCCTGGGCGCTGGCCAGGACCACGCGGCGGCCGAAGAACCTGAGCAAGACGTTGCTGGCGGCCCGGCCCAGGAAGTCCACGGCTCCGAAGAGGACCTGGAGGAGGAAGATGTCCCGCCCCAGGTTCTGCAGGTCGAAGACCAGCCCGTAGTAGGAGATCATGTGGGAGAAGCTGCAGGGCAAAGCCAGCCGTCGGGAGAGGCCCCTCCCACCCGCACAGCCGGCCCAAGAGCACAGCCCCCCAGCCCCCCCGGGCTTGTCTCTGCCAGGGCTGGGGGG